TCCACCCCCCTTAGATGCTATCGCTTACGCAATATAGCTCAACCTCCCTTCTTCCTGGTCAGTCAATCTTGGATAGACTCAACCCGTGTGGAACATCTATGCCAGTCAATATATTTCCCATTGAACCCTGTGCCACCGGGCTCGCTCACACTCTTCTATGGCATACTGTTCTATGTGATCCGCGATTATCTTCATGCGGGAGATCCCGATCTGGCACACTTTGATCTTCAATCAAGCCTTGCGCTCTGTGAACGACACTTTGCCGCTGGCTTGAGCGGGCCTGAGGTTATATCTGAACCAACTTTGGAGAAGATACAGGCACTGTTGCTTGGGGTATGTTTGATTGTCTTCAGGCACTACAAATCCTAACGAATGCAGGTTCTGAAAGCACAAGAGGAAACTGACGTCCAGCGGTGCTGGACCTTCCTTTCGCTGGCATTCAATATGTGCCAGAGCATCGGGTTACACCGACGTTCTACTTTAGAAAAGGATGAGTATGCTATTGCCGAGGCAAAACGCCATGCGTTCTGGGCACTTTACACCATTGACAAGAATATCTCTCTCAATATTGGCGTGACATCACACTTTCAAGATCACGATATTGATGCAGACCTTTATACTCCCTCAAATGATCCCAAGCATCGTCCGTGGGACCTAATGGGGCTTGTAATCGTCGAGTTCGCGAATGTTCAAGGGAGAGTTTATGACCAGCTGTACTCTACCTCTGCTTGTCGAGCAGGTGACGAGCAACGATCAGCATCGATTGAGCGGCTGTCCTCCGACCTGATGACAGTACGGGACAAGCTCCTTGCGGTACGCCTTCCTCCTGTTGAGGTAGTCAAGTTGGCTGACGGTTTTACAAGATTGATGTTAGTCGGGGTCTTTATGCCGACTCTCTACATGGGATGGCAGCCTGTGCAGACTTTATAGCTTACTCTGTGTTGACCGTCATCTATCGTGCACAGACCCATCCACGCGACGTGATGGCAGTTTCTTCCCAGTGCTATGCATCTGCGACTGCTGCTTTACAGAGTCATCTGAAGTGCTTCACCTACTTCCGCGGTCGCCAGACACATAAGCAAACAGAATACGTAAACTGGTAAGACACCCTTCAATCTGCATTAACATAGTGAACTAAACGGACAGGATACTTCTCTATCCTTCATTCACACCCTTCGTCATTGTCTTTACCCACGCCATCACGACCGCCAGTACAGCAGATCTTGCTCTGCTACAGGATACCGCCAGTTCCCTAGAGTTAATCAAAGGCCTTTCACGAGGGTCAATGCATTTATACACTATCTGTGACGCTTTTGTCCGGGCTGCTCAGATACTTGTGAACTCACAACAGACACTAACCGGATTGGAGCAACATCAAGATGGATCCCTTGTTATTCCAACAACTGATGGGCCCGGGAATATTGCCCTGCCAGATGTTTCATGGCCAGAAGATACATTTGACTCTACCATGAACCAAGCAGACATATCCATGTTTCTGAATGGCTTCATTGGCACTAACCGATCGGTCATGGATATTTTGAGTTTCGACCTTAATAGCGATTCAATCCAATGAATAAACCTTTCATTCCTCTCACTGCTAATTGTTGACCGTGGATTTGAGAACCCATCTCTCTCAGTCTCTTAATTACGCATAGTAGATGGGAAATTTGTCTGGACACTCTACTCAGTGCGTGCGAAATGCATACCCAACATCCAATTGCTTTACTCCTGCCTTGAGGCTTTCTTCCAGAACATCATGTATGGCGGCTTGTACCCTACCTCGCTAATGTTGGAGAATAAGGCAACCAACTACATCGAGACGCGTGACGACTTCTAATGGTTCAAAATATTATTCCCCTTTCCTTCCTATATACAGCTGGGAGACGCATGGCAAACGCAGGTCAACAGAATGAGCCAATAAAAGTGAGGCACGGTTTGGCCTAAACAAACTAAACTAAGATGCCCTACCGAAAGGCCCATCTCTTGACTCCAATGACCTAGAAGACATACTTTTCTGATGTTAGCTTGATCACAACAGCAACTCGATGAGACTTACCGGAATGAACAGGTACGGGACCCTCCGCTCATACTCGCGCCAAGCTTCTCCATATCTCTCGCGACAACGTTCAATATCCCGCAGAGCACGATGGATGATCATAACAGTAAAGAAGCACGAGTAGAACCAGGGGAATGGCGAATTAAAGCCAGTAATAAGACCCCAGGAGAAAGCGAAAAACCAGTCACAGCTGTAATGGACCTTACGTGCCATTCCATCTATACCTCATCAGCCCTGATTCGCGATACAGAAATGAACAACTTACACCACCCACTGCACAGGATGGAATCTCCTGTTTTTGTCTTTATGCAGACAGGGTTCTTCACCGATTTCCACGGTAGCTGAGGGAAGGTCTTTCGATTCACAGGCTTTCCTCTCTCCTGAGCTCGGAAGAGGTTCTTCTGGCTGTTGCACGTGTCCCATACCCAGTATGCAAAAATATACATCACAAATAGCACGCCCAGTGCTATGGGGTTCCACTTATAAGTTGACGGATCATGGCTCGCCAGGTATAGAGTGCAATGGCAGTAACTCATGGGGACACCAGCAAGGTTCCAGAAAATGAGCATAAATCCCCACTTCTCATAATACATATCCCTGCGACAAGATCAGTATTGTTGATTTGGCCACCGCATTGAGCAACATACCAGCTCGTGATAATCAGTTCTTCCCCTTTAGCACATGCATTCGCATACAAGAAGTGTGCCAAAAGCAGAAATGAAACTTCCCCAGAGACGAACCCGTGGTCTTCCCACTGCTTCAACGCAGTCCCAAGCGTCAACAAAAACAGAATATACCAGGGTATGCGAACCTCGAAGAACATCTTCATATCAAGCCACTGGAACAAGCGAGGGTTGAGCTCTGCACCCATAAAGAAATCATAAACGTGGGATCCCGTCATCCGATGCTGAGCACCTCGTAGCAAGGCAGACGCGTACGCGAGGATCGAGACCAGAAAGCCAGAGCAGATAGCCACAGACATCAACGGACCAAACTCATCGACGAGCGTACTCAGACGAAAGAGACCGGAAAAGTGGAGGACCAATGCAGCAGCGATGGTAACATACCACGACGCTGCCGCGGAGCAGTAGTAATCCAGCTGCTTTCCATTCAGATGGGGAAGGCATTTGCCCTTGCCGTATACGCCGGGGAGGTACAGGTACCCGAGACCTTCGAGGACAAGGAAGGTCCAGTATATTATCCATGCCTTGCGGTGGGGATAGGCATGCGTATGGGCGAGGTCAACGAGGTGGAAGAGGAAGTCGGTAATAGATTGATTCTCATCGGGCAAGGGGAGGTGGCCGTCGTACAGGGTCGCGCCTATGAACATGTAATACATAAGGAGGGGGAATCCAAGCATCAGCAAGGTAACCCCCGGCGAACCTCCGAACTCGAATGTCAGTTTCTCATCCTCGTGGGCGCTGGAAGACTTTTCCGGGCTCGGATTCGTAGATTGCTTCATGCTGGGTTGGTGGCTAGGTGAATTTAGTGTTCAGTGCATGGCGTGTCTAGGTAGGCATTTGTCTTACCTTGTAGCCGTGCTATGAGCAGACATCCTTCTCCTTGTATACAGATTGTTAGCTCTTCACAGATTGGGCGATCGCGGATTTTTATCAGTCCTCCATTGCTGTTCATGTTGTATACCTTCCTCGTTGCCGGGAAGCCCGCGCCCGCCGTGCTCTCCGCGGACTCCGCGGCGAGCCCGGAAACCTCGGGATCGGCTCGATCAGGTCAATCGATAATCGTAGCGAGGACCCCTAGTTCAGGAGAATTTCGATTCATTTTGGTCTAACCGAAGCCCTTTAAGGGGGAAACTAGCTGAAATAAGATTAAGATTTCTGTGATGGTAAGAGACCTTTTCCGCTTTGCTGTTAGTGTAAGGGTCAGCTAGGCCCGAGCGACCGTGCGGGTGTATCCTACTAGTAACAGCATGGAATAGCGAAGGAGTCTTGGGGAGGGGATTATACTACTATTAGAATAGGGACATGACGGTAAAGGAAATCTATTTGAGCATCTCCTTAACCACATATGGTCGACTAAGTACGCAGTACTAAGTAGTGACGGTTGTGTGCTTTTGTCCTTTTTTTACTGTTCATCCAATTGTGGGGGTTCGTCATTGTATATTTCGAGGACGGTTCGCTTCTTCACCAGTAGTAGTACCACTCTCTCTAACCTATCACTAGTAATAGTCTCCGATTTTAATCCCCTCATGCCAACTTAAATAAAAATAGATTCAAATCACGCAAATCTATGCAGCATTTTACACTCAACCATTTCCCCTTTCCTCCAGCCCTACCAGGATTCGACAGACACCAGGCTGATGCGCGACTGTCACCCGCGGCGCCAAACCCGCCACCATGATTGGCCCCATCCCCAACCCCGATCATCATCTCTCCTCCAACCATCACTCTTACGCTCATCAACCAAGCTTTTATCAAGGATGCACCAAGAGCTAACCTAACGCGTAAGGCTGCGTGTGACAGAGGTGAACCGGCCTGCATATTCACGCTGCCGTCCTGGTTCTACCCACCGAATCAGCATGCTCTATGAAGCGCTCAGCAGCAACATCCTCCCTTTGGGAGTGTAGCTCATCACCCCCCGTGCTGAGGATTGCTTTTCTAACGCGCCTGCCTGCGTGACAGCCTATGGTAGGGCTGGAGGGTCCAGGCCGTCTTTGCTAGACACGGAGAGATATATAAGCTTGTGGGGGAGGATCTTGGCTTTTTGGATTTGTTTCTGATTCTTTCTAGTTCTGTCCTTTGCCTGCTTGGCTACTACCTGCCTACTACTGGTATCTACCTAGCTTCCAAGAATCTCATACATATTGCAAATTAGCTACCTACATACCAATCTTCGACTTCTCTCAAATCTCCCATACAAACAATCTTCACCACCCCCTCTCCTCCTTTCTCACCTCAACCCCGACAACACAGATCCGCCCAATATGAGTATCGGCAAGATCATCGGAAAAATCATCATTATCCCTATCATCATCATTATTGCCATCTGCGTCGGCATCTACCTCCTCATCAAGCACCGTCGTGAGCGCAAGCGCGAACGCCGCGAAGATAAACTCCGCGCCCAGTACTACCGGCAACAGTACCAGCAGCAGTACATGTATCCACATATGCAAATGCAATCACAACAACAGCAGCAGCAGCAGCAGCCGGGCACGCCGGCCCCGCCATACTATAATCAGGCTTATTCTGCGGGACAGCAGCCTGTGGCGATGAATGAAGGGGAATATGGATATTCTGAGACGATGATGAAGAAGCCGGAGCCGGTGGTGTATCCGGTGCAACAGCAGCATCCGGGATCGGAGGTGGTTTAGTTCGGCTTGAGATGGGCTTGATGTGAGTTTGATGTCTTTCGTAATGAGTGTCTTGGTGTATGAATGGGCGTGCTAATGTCTGTTAGGGGCTTATAGGTGTTATACTTGTTTTATGGGCTGTTTGTTGGATATGAATTTGTGACATGATACCTGTATTGTTTTTTTTTGGTATGTTTGGTTGAATGGCTTTGGATATGGATTGTTTATGAATCGTTCTATGATCATGATGTATGGATGAAATATAATCTGCTTTTTTATATCAATGATCCGATAGCATCATAGCTGTCTTATGCACCTTCCCTGACGCCCGGAAACAATGGAATTCATTGTTCTCGGACCCCTTGTCATTTAAGCGGACTGGTAAGTCTGACGTGAAGAACAATGACCACATTCGAGGTATGCATAAGCTGACATGCTAAGAAAGTTGACTAGTGTAACTATCGCCAGCCACCTTGAGAATTAACCAGAATATTACCCAATACCAGCCATGGGAGGGTGAAAGACGCTAGTTGTCATACTAGTAGCACATGGCAATGTATCAAGAGGAAGACTACAGTCAACCAGGGGTGAAGAGAGGTGCGTACACGCCAACGAGAACGACATGAAGGAAGACAAAGAGACACCTGCAATTTCTAGTAGCAACATGTACTAGTACTTGGTTGAATAACCGAGGCAGTCAGTCAGACAGACAATAATGCCTTGACCCCGCTCGAATCCTGACAGGGGTGGTGGCTAGTGGCCAGCAACTAGATATGTGGACGTCGTCCATCACTCACCAGCCAGCTAGTGTTCTGACTTCTTCGACAACCCAGTCGGCAGAGAGTGTTAACCACTACAACTGTTCATCATGGCTTGCAAGGTATCAGGAACGGCGTTTATCACGGGGGGTGGAAATGGTAGGAACCAGACTAGCCCGATCGGGAAACCGTGCTAAGCTGCCTCAGGCATTGGCAAGACCACCGCCTTCAAGCTTGCCCAGAATGGAATCGAAGCACTATCTCTCTTGGAAGTGAACGAGGCACTCCTCCAACGCACTAAAAATGAGCTCGCTACCTCACATCCCAATGTTGCCGTGGAACTTACGGTTGGAGACGTCTCCAAGGAGGCATGCGTGGATGAAGCCGTGCGCCGCACTGTCGAGCGATTCGGTCGCATCGATATCTCGGTTCACTGCGCCGGGATTGTGGGGCAACCGAGCGCGACCCATGAGCTGACGGCAGCAGAATGGCAGAGGGTGATCGATATTAACCAGACCGGGGTGTTGCTCTGCCAAAAGGCCGTGATACGCCAGATGCTGACACAGGAGTATGTTTCACTGGTCCACTTGAGGGGGAAGACGGCCGGCTAAGCGTCTTGCAGATCGCGCGGTTTGCGTCTCGGTCGGGGGACGATCGTGAATATGGCTTCTATGTTTGGGGTAGTGGCTCCGGGGGGTTGGTCAGGACTGTCGGCCTATGCAGCTTCCAAGCATGGTAAGTGGATGCCTGGGATTGGTGGATGAGTGTACCTAGATAGCTAATGGTTGCAGCTGTGGTTGCTTTCTCAAAAATGGTCTGTTGTTCATGATAATCTCCCCCAGATTGTCAGACTAAACCGGTTTAGGACGCCAAAGCGTACATTCAACAAGAGATACGCATCAACGCTATCTGTCCTGGGTAAGTGCCCCGTAGGCCAGTATAATATCCGCTAGCTAACGATCCAGATACACGGACACTGATTTGATCCGCACGTATTGGGATGCGGGATTCATGGAGCCAGACGCGCAGCGAGTCGCTATTGGCCGTAGGGCACAACCGGAGGAGATCGCCGACGCACTCCTGTTTCTGGCCTACCCGATGAGCAGCTACATGGTAGGCTCCGCCTTGGTCGTCGATGGCGGTTACACGGCTTGAGCGCTTTGAGCACTGAGGCTTCTTGATCTACCTACGTACAGCACTGGATCAATACCATCGCCGATTGGTCTTCTCAACGGAGGGATTAAGAGCAACTAAATTAAACTAAACCAGCATCGCAGTCATGTGTATATACAAATCATCAATCATAGTCGGACCTGGACCTTTGTGGGATCCCATCCGGCTGAGCTCTGCGGAGCAGGCTCGTAGTCCACATAGTGGAATGCGTTATCCTCAAAGGGTCCATAGAACCGAGTGCGATCATAAGGTGCAAAGGGAATGCCCCTGCGCAGTCTCTCCACCAAGTCCGGGTTGCTCGTGAAGTACCGTCCATAGAGGAGACCATCGTACTTCCCGGCCTCCAGGACGCCCCAAGAATTGGTCTGGTCCCAGCCGCCAGCCGAAAAGAAGGGGGTCGAGCCGAAGATCTTGCGGAAGGAGGAGAGGTCGACACTCGGAAGGCCCCAGCTGCGGAGGAAGGCATCCTTTTCTTCGTAACTGTGAATTTGCTCGTAGCGCTGAACACATTAGTAAGTGGGACTCAATCGGTTATGAGATAATGCTTACCGGCTCCACAAAGCTGACGTATGATAGACCGGGGTGCGCCTGTTTCAGCGACTCGCACAGATAAGTCCAGGTTTCCACGCGCTGTTCACCACGCGCCTGGTTGTACAGTCCAAACGGCGTGAGTCGAATCGCCAGATTCTCCTGGCCAACCGTCTGAGCCAGTTCGTTCATCAACTCCAGTACGAAGCGGCAGCGCTTCTCTGGAGATCCGCCGTAGTCGTCTGTCCGTCGGTTGATGTTTGAGCTCAAGAACTGCTCCGGGAGATAACCATTACCGGAGTGTAGTTCAACGCCATCGAAGCCAATGTCCATGGCAGTCTTGGCGGCTTTACAATAGTCCTGGATGGTTTGCTTGATGTGCGCGACCGTCAATTCAATCGGAGGGTGGTCTGCATAGCGAACCGGCTCCGACGCTCCCACGGCGGGGTGGGTGTAGCGCTCTTCGGGGTCGTCCCAAACGCTGGCGGAGGCTGAAACTGGGGGTAAGCCGGTCATCTGGGGGACGGTAGCACGGCCGGCGTGCCACAGCTGGCAATAGATGTAGCCGCCTTGGGCGTGGACAGTATCAACGACTCGCTTCCATCCAGCGGCCTGCTCTTCCGTGAAAAGACCGGGGACTCCTGGCATTCCATTGCTCTGCTTGCGTGTTAAAGAACAGACGAATGACCCATCGGAGCTGGATTTTGGGGAGTATTTACCTCCAGCGATGGAGGGATGCCTTCCGAAATGATCAGCCCGCCTGGAGTTGCCCGTTGACGATAATATTCGACAACCAGGTCCCCAGGGTACCAAATCCGATTGGGATTCTCGGGAGTACTGTTTGAGTTCAACGGTTCGCCCCGGTTGCGTGTCAGGGGGGCGTGTACCACCCGGTGGCTCAGAGTGAGCTTGCCATTGGCAATGGCGAGCGGCTGAAAGAGCTTAGAATCCGCTCCTTGGGCCTGGACAATGGTCATTGTGAGAATTCTCGTAAAGATGCAATATCTGGGAAAGCTACCTGGGAAGGTAAAGACAAACGAGGGTGCCACAAGTGGACAATTGGGGAGGAACTTTCTGGGTTGACACGGGCCGTGGTGCGACAGCAAACCAGCGTTCACCTTGAAAGCTACTCCTCACTATTGTTCGCTTCATTGCCTTCTCTCCCTTCTCAGTGGACTGGAACGGAGAGCAGCAGACCCATTGCCAAATGAGGGTGACAGATGGAGCCTGACAGGTTACTGGAACCCAACCAGAGTGTCGAGGACACGAGAAACTTGGATGAAGGGACGGGCTGAACCTTGGGAAGTGGAGGCGTATCCACGAAGCCTACACAGAACCACAGATTGCACCCGACTCCAGTTTAGTCATCTGTCTGTCCTCGGGTTCCTTTTTCCCTATTGACCCCTTATACACATGCAGCGCGTGGCAAACCGCGTGGGACAAGCCTTCTGCAGCCTTGCTGATCGGGCGCAGAAAGGCGTCTTCTAGAAGCCCAGGAGAGTTTCAATAGCAGCCACCTTCGTCAAAAGTAACACAACCTGGGGGCAATTCTTCATTCAGATCACACGGGGGAACAGTGCGAGGTAAATGTGAGCCATCATATTCACCAGGAAATAATAGGGATGGAAGCCATCCGACGCTCCACTCGACACACAGCAAGCGAAAGTCAAAATTCTTCATCGCGGCGCTTGGCGTTTACGTTAGAGGCTTTAGAGGCTTTAGGGCACACGCTAAACTACGGGTCGGTCTCGCAAGTCGGTCTTCCGGAAGAACAACCCCCGTTAAGGCCAACAATTAACCGGGCAAGCTTGTGAAAAAGGGATCCATTCTGCCATTGTTGACTGGCTCCATGACAGTTTGCCGGAGGCCGCCGCATCACGGGCTTCTCACAGACGCTGGTTTCAAACCCACTTTCCAGCGTTCTCCTTTATGCCGAATACCCTATTGTGGTTTGGCTCGGACACCGACGATCACTAATCCCTCAGTCGGGACTTTGGCGGGTTCTTTCGCAGCACCATGACAGATAGTGCGTCGTCGCCACAGCCTATATGCAGCCAGGATCTGGCGCATAGGTAGCGCGAGGAGCTATTGGAACGAGCGCCCGGGGAGGAAGCAATAATCGGGGATGGTTATTACTCCTGATAATCTCCATTGTTCGTTCGAGATATTTCCGACGCCCTGCAGCCATGTCTCCGCGGCTAGTTCGGAGGAGAGGAGGGATTTGAGAATCGATTATCCAATAGTAATTATGAAAAAATATTGGCATCGCAGAGGGGCGCCCTCTCGAACCCCAGTTTCGGCGTCGAAATGAGACACTCTTAGCTAAGGATCCGCCTACAGGTGTCAACTTTTCGGAACCATGGTCCATGGACGCCGCCGCCGCAACACCACTGAGTGTATTTACATAGCACGATACATATCTAGACTAGACCACGATCGCGTGCGACGCCCCAGTGGCAAGCAACCACGACGATCCATGCAAGGTGCATCTTTGCTTCTCCCTGTCCATCATTCCCAAAACAGGTAGACGTTATGACCTCCGGGGCCTATCACGATCGATCCGCTCGGATACTCCATGGTCGCCTCCCAGTCCAACTGCATCGGGGAGCTGCTGTATCCCTCCTTTAAGGTTTTCCTATCTACACCTGGGCGGGACGATCTTGACCCGGTGCCATTGAAGTCATTTCTCGGATTGTTCTCCCAGTTTCCGACCCAAAGTTGAGGGCCTCCCTAGGCGGCTTTATGGGCCTATCATAGACGGCGCAGCGCCAGCTTGACCCCGGGCGACGACGCTGTGCGCATGGACAGACCAAGCGCCTGTAATTTGAACCTATTTATAAATGTTTGTGGCCTCCCCGCGGTCGTCGGGGTCAGTGTCTTGCTCCATGTTGTTTCTTCCTGTTTGAAGAGGCTGCATTGACCACTGGCACGCCATGACTGTCAGTCATCCCAAGGATGTTTTGAACACCATCAATTTCGTCACACAATGTTTGTGTATTCCGATCATTAGCGTATTTGTTATCTTGCGTTTTTCCATCCGTATCTACTACAAACAGTTCGTAGGTGTGGAAGACTGTACGTTTGCTTGACTTCTCTTCAAAAAAATCATTGCTAACTTTCCCAGGGTCATGTCTCATAGCATGGGTACGTTGGGACTGCAGGTGCCTTCATAGGGCGACTCACTGACTATTGCAGGTTCTGTTCATGGGATACTGTGGCATTGCCATTGCCGGTATGCATCATTCTTATCTCTCCAGCAGCTCCAACTAACTTGACTGCAGTGGGTCACTATGGCGGAGGTTACCACATTGACGATGTCTCTGAAGCACACCAGATTCTTTTTCGCAAGGTATGAACGCCCGGCTACCAGAGGGACCTGAAGTTTGTCGGCTAATTGAGGATCAATCTAGTTCTGTTACATTGCCACCGTTCTCTACTGCCCCATGGCACTCTTCGTCAAGATCGCACTCCTTTCTATCCTCATTCGCATTTTCAATCCTTACCGTTCCAAAATCTACTTCATCTACGGCCTCCTCGGCTGTCTCTGCATATACTACATCGTTGCCGAGGTCGTCAAAATTCGCATGTGCGACCCGGTTCCGGGATACTGGACGCTCGATCCAAAGGCACGCTGTCTCAATCAACGGGCCGCCCTGATCGCCGATTCTGTCATCAGTGTGGTGACCGACTTTATTATCCTGATTCTACCTCTGCCACTCACCTGGTCGCTGCAGATGTCACGGAGCAAGAAGTTGCGGGTCATCGGCATGCTGTCGGCGGGTGGTCTGGCCACGGCCTTCAGTTTGTACCGGCTGGTTCTGGTCTTGCGTGATGGTAGCTCCAGGGATCAGACTATTGTCTTTATGATCGTTATTCTTTCAGGGTAAGTTGTTATCCTAAAATAATCGATGCTGCAGACTAACCCCAAACTAGAAACGCCGAAGGAGGCGTGGCCATGATTTGCGCTTGTCTCCCCACGATCAACATCCTCATCAACAAGCTCCGCAAGAAGGAGTACAGCTCTCAACGTTATTACGAACCAGAGTCCTCTGTCAACCTTAGCAAACTCAAAGGAAGCAACAAGCGATTCTCACTCGGTAACTCCCGCCGCGCCGATGGCACCGAGTCCGCCTCCGACCAGTCACATCTGATTACATTTGCAGGGACGGTCGACATGGCAGGTAATGAGGCCGGAGGCATTCACAAGACGGTGGATGTGTCACAGACGATAGAGATGGTGGCCGATGGTGATAGTCATGAAAGCCACCATCACAGCAGTTTTCACTAATGATTGTATACCCTGGGTGGGCGGCTTTGTGTTTTATGGCGGTATGGTGTTCGGTTAATGACTTCGTCCGAACTACGGTTTAGCGATAGACTACACTCTTTAATATTTCCTTTTTAATGAATTTTTTTTTATGTATGATTCGGTCAATTGGCATGGAAATGCTTCC